AGACTTTTAAAAGTCTCTATTTGTTCTTCCATCCCAAGTGTAAGAACCAAGACCCAAGCACTTTCTCCAATAAATTTTACACGTTGTACCCATATATTTAAGTGAATTTTCCCTCTTTTTGAGCTCCCCAAAATTTGTTCAGGGTCCTAGGCCACCAGAGTGGGTTTCCTTACCACCCGAGACTAGGACCCTGGAAGCCAGGTATCGTGTTAGTTTTCTCGGAAGGGTTTTGTAGGCATTAGCTCCGTATAGAACATCAACCATTATTCCTGGTTATATGTGGTTAAATAAGAATTACTCTCAAATATCACCCTATATTTGGCCTTCGTGCAGAATTGGTTTTTCTAATTATGTCTTCATAAAAAAGAAGATTTTTTTGTGTGGAATCAATGCAAATGATTATAGTGTCATGAAAAATAAGAAAGGCTAAGTAGAAGTGTTTGTTTTTGAATTCTGAATGTGAGTGAAAATCAGATAACATTTAAAAGTAGTTGATATTGGTTTACAAATACATATTCTAGTAAGTTGTAGATTAGAGATAGTTTAAGGAGAATGAGTTTCCTCAAAGATCCAATAGAAATAGAATATTAAAAATAATACCAGCAATATTGCAAATAAATGATCTCAGTAACATTTCCTTAATCAGGTCATTCAGTCCCACATAATTAGTTGTGTAATTAATTGTCGTTCTGCTGGATCATAGGTCAGGAGTCTGATTTCATGAAGTACATCTGCTTCTAGACTTGAAAGAGTCCTGGAAATCCTGGCTCCTTCCACTGGTGTAGTCTGAGTGTTGACTAAGTATTTCCATCTTGGAAACCTGATCTTAAGAGTCTACTTGTTGAAGTAACACTAGCTTCAGAGTACCTAGTACGGGTTTTTCCATGAAGCTCTGAGATGTTGTGTCTCTGTTTGAGACACAAATTCTGACTGGTAGCTTATAGCAGAGTCTTCAGGCAAGTGTAAGAAGGAAACAGAGACCTGTTTGATAATGAGACTGAATGATTATGGTTAATTTATTAGAGTGACCAAAAATATCACAGGAGAGGAGAGTAAAATCTCTTTTGGGGCATGGTATTTAATTTATGAGGGTTTGATCAGTGTTTCCCTTGAGCAATCCAATTCCAAGTGCACTTTTAAACCCAGCACCTGTGTCTCTTTTGTTACAAGGCTACCCTCAGCCTACAAAAGACAGTACCTCTTGTGTACTTAGGTAGCCAGAAAACCATCTCAACAAAGACTTATGGGTGTGGGGATATAAATAATCCAGATCTCTTGCTCTGGTAGACAGTCTGTGAGGGTGCTGAATCTTCTTTTTCATGCGGGTACCATTTGGGGGAAGAGTGAGTGGGGAGAAACTCAGAAAGCCTGAAGAACATCCAAAAGCCACGTAGTTAACTTGAAGGAGACTATTGAAAAGTGAAAATAACTAAGATCACTTTAACTGGTAGCAGATGGAGGGCTCCAATACCCCTGGCTTCTGTCATTATTCATGATCTCTTTGATTGTTTTGCTAAATGACAGACTGGGTGGGGCCCAATGTCTGTCCCTGCATCTATCCCTGGCTGAAGGAAGGGGTGTTCCTTGGCAAAAGCTTGTGATTTTAATTTTTCTGAAGACTTAGGAAGGAAGTGTTTTCAGACGCATAGACAGGGGAAGAGAAGCTGAACCAGAAATCAATAGAGTCCTAGAACTTTTATGTCTGCTAATTATGTACAGCCATTCTCGAGATTGGAGAACAAGTCCTTCTGCAGTGGATAGAAAACATAAAATAAGAGTTTTCCAAGAATTTGCTTCTCCCTATAGGGTCTTCAGTTCTATTTATGTATTTGAATATGCTATGGACTGAATTGTGTTTCCTGGTCCCAAATATATATGTTGAAGTCCTAACCCCCAGATGTGATGATATGAGATGGGGCATTTTGGAAGTGATTAGATTGAGATAAAGTTATGAATGTGGGGCTCTCATGATGGAATTAATGCCCTTATAAGAAGAAATATTGGAGAGGTTGCTTTCTCTTAACCATGTATGAACTCAGTGAGAAGTTCTGCAAGCCAGAAGAAGAGCCCTCACCAAGAAACCGGATGGCACGTTAATCTTGGACTTCCTAGACTCCAGAACTGTGAGAAGTAAATTCCTGTTGTTTAAGCCACCCAATCTATGATATTTTGTTTTGGCAGTCCAAGCTGACTAATACAGGCACTTATGATGTAAAATCATACAGTAGGTGAGTTTAAAGAAGGTAATTGATGACCTGAGACTGGCATCAAGAGTTCTGTTACTACTACTAGATAACACTTATTGATCATTTACTATAATCTGAGTACCATTCTAACCATTTTATATACACTACTGTATTTAATTTCACAACAACCCTATCAAGTAACTCCATTTTAAAGGTTAGGAAAGTGAGTTGCAGACATGTTAACTTATCCAAATGTGGTAGGCTGAATAATGCTCCTTAGATAGCCATGTCCTAGTTCCCAGAACCTGTGAATGTTACCTTATTGCAAAAGGGTCCTGGAAGATGTGATTAAGTTAATGATTTTGAGATGGGAAGATTATCCTGGATTATCTAGGTGGACCATAGATGTAATCACATAGATCCTTATAAGAGAGAGGCAAGAAGATCAAAGGAAGAGGAAGGCAATGTGATGATGACAGCAGAGATTGGAGTGATGTGGCAACAATCCAAGGTATGCTGGCAGCTTCTAGAAGCTGTAAGAGGCAAGGGATAAATCCTCTTTTGGAGCCTCTAGAAAGAACCAGCCTTGCTGATACCTTATTTTTGTCTCCATAAGACTAATTTCAGGCTCATGACTTCCAGAACTGTAAAGAGAATACATTTGTATTGTTTTAGGCCACTATTTTTGGTAATTTATTCTGGGAGCAATAGGTAGTTGATATACCAAGATTACATAGTTAATCTGTGGAAGAGCCTGGACAATGTGAGGAACCATTCCTTTCATCTCTTATTATTACTTTTGCAATGTCTTGATAAGTTCAGCTTTGAATTTGTCTAGATCATAGCAACAGAAAAAGCCCTGAGCTCAACAAGGTGAATTCCTATAGAATTTAAAGAAATGTCTTTTGATGACCTCCAGTCTTTTGGAAAATTCATATATAGCCACATTGCCACATGTGTATATGATATAAAGAATAAAAGGAAAATGTGGAAAAGGAAGCTGTGGCTTTCCCACATTCATCTTTTTTGCTCCTGATATAGGACCATGTGGATGGAGTAGCATTCTGGGTGAAGGGAGCAACCTGGAGTTGTGGGGGTAGGGGTGGAGAACAGCAGAGAGACAGATGGCTCACAGTAGAGCTAGAAGTAGAAAGGAGTTCTTAAAGATGAGGAGTACATGGCCAGGTAAATAATACAGGGGAAATATGAGGCCAACCTCCTATCAAAAATCTATAGGGAGATCATTCCTAAGTTAGGATCTAGGGGTTGGACTGATATGTGCCAGATGCTCCCCCTTGGCCAATGGCCTCAAGGCTGTTACCATTCGAGACCTGCACCTTAGTCCTTATAAAATCCATGGATTCTGTCTCAACCACTTCCTCCTTCCCTTTAGGGAATTTGCCAGTGTCTCTTAGCAGAATACCCAGAGAAGCAATAGCTGACCAGGAAAACATTCAAAGCAGCTTCTTACAGAACAAGTTTCATTCAAGGCATATGAAGAATGAATGAAAGTGGGCCATGGTGGTGATATTTTGAGCAGGGGATGTGGTTCTGGCTCGCCTCTAGACTCATATGCATGCAGCCCTGTCAAGGCAGCTTCATGGGTATGTGACCAGTACAGCTCACAGGGCCTTGTGCTCAGAAAGGCCCTTCACTTGGTTTAATGCTCTGTTGCTGTCATATTGAAATTCTTAGTGATTTTTGAACAAAGGGCATTTTCAGTTTGTGCCAGACCTTGCAAATTACATAGCTGGTCCTCATCTGTGCCTTTACCGGAAGTCAGGAAATGTTACATGGGGCCCTTAGGGGTGACCCAAGTCATTAATATCAATAATTGGTTCAATGATATGGACTGATCATATGGTCATTAACATAATAGTATCCAAATCTAGCTGCTTCCCTCAATGGGTAGCCACTCTATTGTCCACTACTTCCTGCCATATCTGGTCTTCTTGGTACTTATCCTCCAGCTTAAGAAATGACTGATCCAGTTTCTCTGTGTAGTGAACCAAAATATGTACTCAAAAACAATATTCTTATGATGATGCAACAGACAACTAGAACATCTGGTCAACCTGGGAACTTTGACAACCTGTCTCTCATCTCAAATAATTTCTAGAGCAGGTTGGAATCATCCACTGGGTAAATCTAGGATAATCTACCTCTACCTGGGCCTAAGGTAGGAACATTGTGGGGGAAAGTTGAGTCTGCTTCCTGGGTGCATCTTTATTTATATGCATATTTTCAAGCTTGCAAGAACCATAATGAAAAAAACTAGAGAAGATGTGTGGTTATTGAAAGATTTTTCCCAGGCCACATTTTACTGATTTTCTCTTGGTTCCTAATGGTTTAGATCCATTTGGCTTTATACTTGAGTGCTGTTAATTTTTGAGTGACTAATTTGAGATCTTCCTGAAAGACCATATTAAAAACCCATATTATACAACCACTAGGCAGTATCCCCAGGATACATCAAACCATGTGTCTGACTTCCTTTTTCCCTGAAGCGCCCTCAGTGTCCCACTGCACCAGAGAAGATGATCAGACACCACGTTGGGCTTTCTGGACAAGATTTAGGTCATGTAATAAAGGCCTTTTGGATCTACCACTATAACCCAAAACAAGAATAACTGAAAATTTTAGTCTGATAGCAGGCACATGGATAAAAAGGTTTCAATTTGGCAAAACTGAAGCACCCATCAAATTATGGGGCAATATTTCTGTCTCTTTAAAGGCAAGCAGTTCCTCCACTGGTTCCACCCAATCTGCTTCCTGACTCAGAGGTTTAAAAAGGGTGCAAACACTTTTCTCTCACAGTTAAAGCAAAAGCACCAGCTCAAATAGCTTCTTTGGAGGAAATTTGACAACTCATCAACTCATTCAAAAAAAGGTGAGCCTGGCTGAGAAGAGGCCCTAGAGTGATAGAGTTGTGATGGGCAGTAGGAGCAGGGAGTCTGCATGGGGGTGGATTCTGGTCTGAGAAGGGACCAGGTGCTGTGTAAGCAGCATGACAAGGATGCTGCCAGAGTAGCAGTGGCAGAGGGTAGGGAGGGGAAGAGAGAGATTTATTAGTGTGATGTCCATACATCTCATATTTAACATGACAAACTTTTGCTGAGTGGTGTACCTACATCCTGCTGCTACTGTGATAGACACTGAGTGCAGCTCGGTAACCCGTCCTTTTCCCTTAATAGGAAATTAGTGGTCACAAGGTAGGTCTTTAGAGCTGGAAGGCAATTTAGAATCCATCCAGTCTAAAGAATCAGAATCCCTGAGAATGTGGTGACTCTCCAGGGGTGACCCAGGTCACTTACTGGCAGAGGAAATCTAGGTTCAGTTTGTTGAATTCTTTCCAACATTTCACAGAGAGAAGCTGTGCTCCTGATAGTCTAACAGATGAGTGGAGGGGTGGGAGCCAAGGGGAGAGGACTAGTTATTCTAAAGAAATGATGTATGTGAAACCCTTCTCCTTGCCCTCCCTAATTACAGCCTTGCTACCAGTTCACCATTCAGGGAAGTGTGTGGACTATTTTCCCCCAATCTACCTCTGACCTGATGTAAACTGAAACTATAGAATAATGGGCTTGAGAAGGAACAAGAAGAGGCCGTAGTGTTCAGTGATTAAGACTGAGCATGGTAGAATCAGATAGGCTTTGAATTGAATCTCTCTCTGCTTAATACCTATTAGCACAATGACCTTGGGCAAGTGTCTCAGAATTCTTGAGCCACCTCAGTTTCCTCATTTAAAAAACTCAGGTAATAAAATTAGCTTCCTTGCAGGTTATTTTTGGGAGTGAGACACAATTGACCCTTGAACAACATGGGCTTGGAATGTGTGGATCCACTTATACATGGATTTTTTTTCTAATAAATACACATTGACCCTCCATTTCCCTGGTTTTGCATTAGCAGATTCAACCGACCAGGATGGAAATTTTCATTCGAGGTTGGTTGAATCCACCAATGTGAAACTCCCGACCCCCGATATGGAGAGCTGAGTGTACTAGCCGTTTTATATATGGGATTTGATCATCCTCGGATTTTGAAATATGTGGGGAATCCCCCCCCACGGATGCAGAGGGATGACTGTAATATACAAAATACATTTATTAGGGTGCATGGTATACAGTATACATTCAGTAGTGATTACCACTTACAGGTTAAAATTTTTAATGTGGAAATGTTTTTTAACTTATTCAAAGATAAAGGGAATGATACAAGGAACTTCCATGTAACTGTATCAAGCTTCAGCAATTATCAATTTATGATAGTCTTGTTTCATTTATATATTCACCACTCCCCAGCCAGCCCAGATGACTTTGAAGCAAATATCAGTGTGTCATTTTATCAGTAAATATTTGAGTATATATGTCTGAAAGATAAAAATCCTAAAATTGAGATTGATAACCAAAGGGTAAATACATATGAACCTTTGTAAGATATTGCTCACTTCTCTGTTTTTGACTGTTTTTCCATTCCTACTCACCATGAGGGCAAGGACCTGTTTCCCCTATACCTTTTAGCAATAGACTGCCAGCCAGCAAGCTTTTGTCAAATCTGTAGGTGAGAAATAGTATCTGAGTGTAATTGTAATTAATTAATTATTTTTCTTTTTTTCTATGTTTTGATCTATTTTCTTCTATTATGAGTGATTATTAATATATTTTTACATATTCAAGGAATATTTACATTTTTTCTTTGAGTTTATTCATATCTCTTGCTCCATTTTCTGCTGAGTTGTTGGTCTTTTGTTTCTTTACTCTTAGATATTCTTCGTTTTAAAATTTTTTCTTCTTACTAGTATATTTGATTTACAAAATTGTGTTAGTTTCAGGTGTACAGCAAAGTGATTCAGTTATACATACATTTTTTCTGATTTTTTCCATTTTAGATTATTACAAGATATTGTATATAGTTCCCTGTGTTGTTTATCTATTTTATTTATAGTAGTGTGTATTTGTTAATTCCATACTCCGAATTTATCCTTCCTTGCCCCTTTCCCTTTTGGTAACTGTAAGTTTGTTTATTTATAATAAGTTTGTTTTCTATGTCTGTGAGTCTGTTTCT